TTTCTCAAATTAGGAAAGTTGGGCAGCCATTTAGCCTTTAGAACTTGCCGAGGCACCACATACAGGGTTTGGAGATTAGGCAAAGAAACTCCATTTTTATGGAAACTACATTTGCTGACCATGTGAAGACAACCTCGAGGCTGTAGATTAGATTCTTTGTATAAGAGAATATGCCTCAATTGTTTCATCCTCCAAATAACACTTGGAATATGGATACGATAACTTCGCACATCCAAGGTCATTAAATTTTTTAATTTGCCTACGGATGAGGGAAATTTGACAAAGTGATTTTTTAATCCAAAGTAATTTAAGCGCCTCAAATTGCCAATTTCATTTGGAAGAGGGAATGAAAAGCCATGGCCATCTACGCTTAGCACTCGAAGAAATCTAGAGCCTTTAAAAAATTCCTTAACTTGTTTCCTGCTAGGTGAGCTCCAGTCTTTTCCAAGAAAAGATAGCATGGTACGAAGCTTTGGAGTTTGAAGATTAGAAGAAATGTATTCCCTAACACTATTACGGTAGTTTGTGACTCTACGAACTTTCTGTGCAGAATTAATGGCAGTTACATCGTTGTGAGGGTTAAAGAAGTTACACTCGGTGGCCACCCTAATGCATAAACTGTGCAGAAGATCATGAATACGACAAGTTCTAATCCTCCCATCGTATCTCCTCCTAGCAACTTGAACCATGTTCCTAGCAACCAAATGATCAAGGTAATCTTCCCCCACATCCTCAGGCGTGCGCTGTCCTTTTTCTTGTACAAATCCCTCCGCCGCCCATAAGTTAATTAATTCGAATGCAAAGATCTCATAATCCTCTGGAAAAAGCCCAAAATAGAGAAAGCATGGTTTTAAATGAATGGGCAAATCTTTGTAACTCAAAGCCAAGATTTTTGAACACATATCATCGTCTTGACCCATGTTGTCAAGTACTCCCTTCCACGCATGTTCGGTTTTCTCTTTACGAAGTAGCAAACCAGCTACTACCACAATAGCAAGTGGTACAAAACCACATCTTTCTACAATTTTCCTACCAAGAGGTTCTAACTCTTGGAACTCAATCGTGTCGGTGGTAATTTCCAGAGGGTCCATGACCATCATAGAAAAAAGGTTCCAACTTTCATTTGGCTTCAAGGGTTGTAGCTCGTATAGAAAGCTAACCCCACATATGGACAAGCCCACTTCTCTGTTTCGAGAAGTGATGATTATTCTGCTACCATTTTTACAATTTTTAGGAATGCCATTTTCAAGATCATCCCATGTTTGGGTGTCCCATATATCATCAATCAAGATTACATACCTTTTGCCCTTCAAATATGCAGAAAGATTGGCCTCCACATTCTCTTCCCACTTCTCCTTCGCCAAGCCCACTTGTTTTGCTATGTCTTGCAAGAGATGTTTTACATTGGGCCTTTGAGAAGCATAAACCTTCGCTGAACACTGAAAGCGATGGTGAAAATTATAGTCATCATCATTTACAACCGAATCAAAAACTTTCTTAGCAAGAGTCGTCTTGCCTAGTCCTGGCATACCAACTATTGAGACCACATGACGCTTCAAATCAGGATCAATCACTCTAGCCATCAATGTTTTGATATGTTCATCAAAACCAACTACAATTGGTTCATCATGATGAAGGAAATGCCTTCTTTTCTCCCATATGTTTCTTCCACTGTTGTTGGTACTATTATTGGTTCCATAAGCATTTCTAACGCGAGCAATATTTTCAACCCTTCTTCTGATCGCTTCAATCTCTACAACAAGGTTATGAATTGCAAAGCCATGGCATAAAACACAAGTGGCACTCTTAAGACAACTTCCCAAGCACCCTGTCCTCTCGTATAATGATCCTATACGAGGAAAGTAAGTCTCCACAAAGTCCTCTACATCGAAAGCTAGGACTCTAATATTGGTCAGCAAGGTGGCTTCCACTCTGCTTTCGCTTTGCTCGCCATTAGCATCATCAACATCTTCTAGGTATGCTTGGATATAACTCATCTCATTTTCGATCCACTCCATGTCTTCCTTCAACTTTGACATGCGACAACCTTCTTGGACAGCTAGATTGCCCAATACTAGTATAGTTTGTTTGAGAACTGCTTTAGCGGCGAAAATGGCAATTTCTGCCATTTTATTTTTTCTTCTTTGGCTACAAACCACCAAGAAGAGTATAAGAGATAAAATCCATTAGCCAGTGATTTTGAAGTCGAAAACCAAATTGAAATCAATTCAACTTGGATTGGGGAGTGTTGTGAGCTACTGTCCAATACAAACCGAACACGTATGTTGATTTCAGAAGGAATTTTGGCTTACAAATCAAATTTTCTTCAATAAATGGAGGGGTCTTGATCTCGTTTTCATGTTTTGTTTTGGGAAGTTAGTCAAAAGTTTGTTTTCTGATTATTTTATTTTATTTTTTTATTTTTTTTTTAAATGTGTAAAAAAATAAAAAAATAATGTGACGGTTAAAGCTAACTTTTAATTTTTAGTCATCTTCCCAAATTACAGAAGAAGATTTCTTATTATTTTAATGAAGCAAAATTATGTCTAGGTGAATTCCTCTGCATCATCGCAGAACTACAATATATATTATTTTAGAGTAAATTATAAATAGAGATTTAAGTGAAATACTAATTGGCCCATGAAAATTATATTATTTCCTTTAAAATTTCTAATCATATAACAAAAAATCACTTTTATTAATTAATTATTAATTCAATTAATAATTTTTGACGATGTCAATAATATATTTCAATTAATGATTTTAATAATTTTATTGTTGTATATAAGAAGACAATTAGAATTTATTTTTATTTATTTAATTTTTTTCAATCAACTCTTTGAATGACAAATTCTGACAGGTATATTTGTAATTTATTATTTATTTTATTATTTTATTTTTATTGTTTTTACATGACAGCCAAAAAAAAAAAATAACCACCCTCAGTCACTTCTTCCAACAGAGAAATATTAAAAACGACCCTTTAATCAAATTATTATTATATTTTTTTAATAAAACCGGCCCAAGGAACAATTCAACAAGCACCATGTTAGACCATTCAACGAAGTAGTTTAGTTAGGGATAAACTGCTAATAGGTTATAATAATTAGATTTAATTCCCATCAAGTCCTATTGAAAATAAGTCCTAGTAAAATCGTCGCTAAAAATAATTTTTTGTGACGATTTTTTGCATATATTGCTAATTAACAATTAGTGACATCTTCTTTTTTTTTTGTCACGATTTTTATAAATTGTCTCTAAAATTTACAATTAGTGACATTTTTCTATGACGAATTTTTCTAACAGTCCCTGAAAGTTGAAACTTACTGACTTTTTTTGTGACAATATTTTTAAAGTTATCGTTAAAACTTATAATTATGACATTTTTTGTGACAATTTTCAAATTATCGCTGGAAATTAACAATTAGTGACTTTTTAATAATGTTTGATAAAAAATGATATTAATTTTTACAGGACCTATTGAACAATAAGTTCACTTATTAAAACCTACACGTAAGTCCCCCTTTCTTCGACCATGGGTTTGCATTTTCCTGATTTGGGGACTAAGGTTGTGTGTATTTTCTTATTTTTTAAAGAAAGAAATCTGAGCCGTATATTTTCTTGTAGGCGACGTGGCTTTATCTGAGCCCTTGCCGGAGCAACTGCTGGAGAGAGGGGCTGGAGAGGATCCGGACTCCATCCACAAAGGGGAGGACACGCCATTATTGACTCATCTGTCTCAAGATCACGCCATTCTTGACTCTTCTGTCCCTCCTCCTTACCAATCCCCCTTCCTCCTCCTTACCAATCCCCCTTCCTCCTCCTTACCAATCCCCCTTCCTCCTCCTTACCAATCCCCCTTCCTCCTCCTTACTAATACCAAGGGATTACTAATTCCCTCCTTATCTCCCAAAACAAACACCACATTCTCAATCCCCTCCTCACTGCCAAACTCAATCCCCTCCCTATAACCTCAAACAAACGGGGTCTAAAGGTTTCTGTACAATAATTGTTGTAATATATAAGAAAATTCTACTTGTTGCTATTGTCATCAACCGAATGCCAGAAACAACAAACCAAATATTTCAAAAACCATGGTAGGATGCTTGCTGAAGCTATAATGCAATAAAGGAGGAAGAATACGAGCAAATAAGTACACCTCTAGTGGTCAAATAAGTTAAAGATTTTAAAAGTACAATAGGAAAGGTAGAGTACCTGATTCCGATATGAATAGAAATCATTGCAACCTAAGATTGTAATATCAAGACCTGCATGAATAATTCAGTTAAGACATTAGATATTAATAATTACTTTATTTTAATAAGAAAGATGAGGCATCAAACATTACCTTGCAAAAGTAGCTTGTGTAACAAATCCTTCTTATCCTTTTCCAATGTTGCAAGGGCTGCTGCAACAGCATATTGCACTGCATATTCTACAAAGGGGTTCCTTGATTCACTGAGATTTTAAGCCAACAGCGATAAGCATCACCTCCACGAGCCAATATACCATTTAGTTTCCCCGTTATTTGCATTTATTTATTACGGTAAGAGAAATCACTAAGAATAATTCTTCTTCAGACCTTGTTCAGTGCCATGAATGCATTAATGAATGAAAAACATATAAGGATAAATGGAAACATTTGATGAGAATTAAATATATACAAGGATAACACAACGAATACAAACTTACCTCGAAGAGATGCACTGAAGTGCTAAATGTTTTAGCGACATTTTGTAAGTAGTTTCTCTTGACATCTGTGGGGAAGTTAATTTCACATCTGTCCATGCCTGAAAGAGCATGAAGAAAACAATTAGTATCACAAATATTGAGCACTAAAATATGGCATTTCATAATGGTAAAACAAAGAATATCACAATAAAAATACTCCTCTATGGAGCTACTAAGGAAAAAAAATAATTTAACAAACACTAAAATGGTATCTATTAAACTAAAGCTTTAAATGTTTTGGTGACATTTTGTATGTAGTTTCTCTTCACATTCGAGGAGATCAAAAGAAGTTAATTTCACATCTGTCCGTGCCAAAAAGGCCATGAAGACAATATTACAAATATTGAACCAAAAAAATGGCATTATGCTTTAATAACAACATTTTTCTCTATGGAGCTAACAAAGCAACAATTTCTTCATGCAAACCAACAATTAAGTCTGACAAAAATAAATTCCAAAGAATGAACCACACACCCATGCCCAGCTGTCGGGTTTAATTTCCTCATAAAATGGTTTCACAATTGCATAGAACCGAGCATTCGTACTGAGTACAATCCCCGCATTGGGCCTCTCCAAAACAAGATAGCCCCCAGTCATCAAGACCTTTCCAGGAGCAGAAGCAACTCTGTGAACATCAACACAATCCACTCATCTTTTAGCCAACCCAATTTTGCTACAAAAATTTAAGCTACACATAAATGCAAACATCTATTTGTAAATACATCTGTGAATGAAGAATGAAAATAAGAAATTAAAGAAAGTCCTGAAATTTATCAAATGAAACTTACACAGCCATTGCAATTCAATTCTCAAACTGACCTCAAAGGTCAAGATTCAACTGAGATGATCTGCAATCAGAGTCAGCAAACCCTCTGTTTAAATCCCAACAAACAGCCAAATTCCCTACTCAATTAACTCCATGGAGCTGACATGGTAACTTTTTAAGCAGTTCATTGCTTGGAAAAGAAATAGAAAAACAAATTAAAACCGAAATCTTTGTACCGATAGATTAGTGGTGAATGAATTCAATCATTGTTTGTTAAAGTTTATTGTGCGATTTATAGAGGCTAAGATAGTAAGATCCAATACTAATTACCTATTTTCTTTAAGAGAACATTAAATAATACATTAGGAGTAGTTATTAACATTTGCTTTGACTTATATTTTCTTTAAGAGAACATTAAATAATACATTAGGAGTAGTTATTAACATTTGCTTTGACTTATATTTTCTTTAAGAGAACATTAAATAATACATTAGGAGTAGTTATTAACATTTGCTTTGACTTATATTTTCTTTAAGAGAACATTAAATAATACATTAGGAGTAGTTATTAACATTTGCTTTGACTTATATTTTCTTTAAGAGAACATTAAATAATACATTAGGAGTAGTTATTAACATTTGCTTTGACTTATATTTTCTTTAAGAGAACATTAAATAATACATTAGGAGTAGTTATTAACATTTGCTTTGACTTATATTTTCTTTAAGAGAACATTAAATAATACATTAGGAGTAGTTATTAACATTTGCTTTGACTTATATTTTCTTTAAGAGAACATTAAATAATACATTAGGAGTAGTTATTAACATTTGCTTTGACTTATATTTTCTTTAAGAGAACATTAAATAATACATTAGGAGTAGTTATTAACATTTGCTTTGACTTATATTTTCTTTAAGAGAACATTAAATAATACATTAGGAGTAGTTATTAACATTTGCTTTGACTTATATTTTCTTTAAGAGAACATTAAATAATACATTAGGAGTAGTTATTAACATTTGCTTTGACTTATATTTTCTTTAAGAGAACATTAAATAATACATTAGGAGTAGTTATTAACATTTGCTTTGACTTATATTTTCTTTAAGAGAACATTAAATAATACATTAGGAGTAGTTATTAACATTTGCTTTGACTTATATTTTCTTTAAGAGAACATTAAATAATACATTAGGAGTAGTTATTAACATTTGCTTTGACTTATATTTTCTTTAAGAGAACATTAAATAATACATTAGGAGTAGTTATTAACATTTGCTTTGACTTATATTTTCTTTAAGAGAACATTAAATAATACATTAGGAGTAGTTATTAACATTTGCTTTGACTTATATTTTCTTTAAGAGAACATTAAATAATACATTAGGAGTAGTTATTAACATTTGCTTTGACTTATATTTTCTTTAAGAGAACATTAAATAATACATTAGGAGTAGTTATTAACATTTGCTTTGACTTATATTTTCTTTAAGAGAACATTAAATAATACATTAGGAGTAGTTATTAACATTTGCTTTGACTTATATTTTCTTTAAGAGAACATTAAATAATACATTAGGAGTAGTTATTAACATTTGCTTTGACTTATATTTTCTTTAAGAGAACATTAAATAATACATTAGGAGTAGTTATTAACATTTGCTTTGACTTATATTTTCTTTAAGAGAACATTAAATAATACATTAGGAGTAGTTATTAACATTTGCTTTGACTTATATTTTCTTTAAGAGAACATTAAATAATACATTAGGAGTAGTTATTAACATTTGCTTTGACTTATATTTTCTTTAAGAGAACATTAAATAATACATTAGGAGTAGTTATTAACATTTGCTTTGACTTATATTTTCTTTAAGAGAACATTAAATAATACATTAGGAGTAGTTATTAACATTTGCTTTGACTTATATTTTCTTTAAGAGAACATTAAATAATACATTAGGAGTAGTTATTAACATTTGCTTTGACTTATATTTTCTTTAAGAGAACATTAAATAATACATTAGGAGTAGTTATTAACATTTGCTTTGACTTATATTTTCTTTAAGAGAACATTAAATAATACATTAGGAGTAGTTATTAACATTTGCTTTGACTTATATTTTCTTTAAGAGAACATTAAATAATACATTAGGAGTAGTTATTAACATTTGCTTTGACTTATATTTTCTTTAAGAGAACATTAAATAATACATTAGGAGTAGTTATTAACATTTGCTTTGACTTATATTTTCTTTAAGAGAACATTAAATAATACATTAGGAGTAGTTATTAACATTTGCTTTGACTTATATTTTCTTTAAGAGAACATTAAATAATACATTAGGAGTAGTTATTAACATTTGCTTTGACTTATATTTTCTTTAAGAGAACATTAAATAATACATTAGGAGTAGTTATTAACATTTGCTTTGACTTATATTTTCTTTAAGAGAACATTAAATAATACATTAGGAGTAGTTATTAACATTTGCTTTGACTTATATTTTCTTTAAGAGAACATTAAATAATACATTAGGAGTAGTTATTAACATTTGCTTTGACTTATATTTTCTTTAAGAGAAGGAGACAACGTATAAAGGTTTGAAGTAATTTGGAAAGTTAGTTAAAAGTCAATTTTTAATTTTTAATTCATTTTGTGTCACATTATCTGTCACATCTTTCATACACGAAAGGATTTTTTTTTTTTTAAAAAAAAAAAACCAAAAAAACTAATAGTGTAATTGATTAAGCTAAAAAAAATCAAAGACGAGATTTTAGTTTATAGTACACCTTATGAAATGTCTTTTTCATTTTTCATTTAAAAAAAAAAATTCTAATGTTTTTTATGTTTTTTTGAGGAAAGTATTTTTTTGGTTAAATAGGAGAGGAGCCTGTAGATCTATAAATTCTTATGCTATCAGATTTTTTAAAGAAGAAGGAATGCATGGGAACAGTTTACTAATTAATGTTTCTTCAATTTTTACAGTTGATTGCTTGGCTTTATTTTCTTTTTATTAAAAAAAGAGTCAATTACATGGTATTTGTGTTGGGTTCCCATGTGATAATATATATGGTTGATTTATATATGTATTAAGGTTATTGTGCGGGAAAATCCCACATCGGTCTGTGAGGGACTACTTTCCCACCTTATAAGCAAGCTGACTCCTCTGACCTTGCATAGGCTTTTTCCCCCAGTGGGGGAGGAACAAAACCGTGTGGTCGGAATGCCAAAGCGGACAATATGTGCAAGCCACGGGGACCGGTGGCTCCTAGTGGGGAGGAACAAAACCGTGCGGTCGGAATGCCAAAGCGGACAATATGTGCAAGGCACGGGGACCAGTGGCTTTATTTAATGTGCGGGAAAATCCCACATCGGTCTGTGAGGGATTACTTTCCCACCTTATAAGTAGGCTGGCTCCTTTTACCTTGCATAGGCCTTTTCCCCCAATGGGGAAGGAACAAAACCGTGCGGTCGGAATGCCAAAGGAACAAAACCGTGCGGTCAGAATGCCAAAGCGGACAATATGTGCAAGGCACGGCCTAGTCCCTCACAGACCGATGTGGACCAGTGGCTTTATTTAATCACATCGGTCTGTGAGGGATTACTTTCCCACCTTATAAGCAGGCTGGCTCCTTTTACCTTGTATAGGCCTTTTCCCCCAATGGGGAAGGAACAAAACCGTGCGGTCGGAATGCCAAAGCGGACAATATGTGCAAGGCACGGTCTAGTCCCTCATAGACCGATGTGGGATTTTCCTGCACATTAGCCCCCAGCCGCGCTAGTTCCGGTCACCCCGGAGGGAGTTCCCACAGACGGCGCCAAATAAAGCCTTGCACATATTGTCCGCTTTAACATTCCGACCGCACGGTTTTGTTCCTCCCCCACTGGGAAAAAGGCTTATGCAAGGTAAGAGGAGCCAGCTTGCTTATAAGGTGGGAAAATAGTCCCTCACAGACCGATGTGGGATTTTCCCGCACAGTTATGATGGTAGAATTTAAAATTTATTGGGAAACTTAATATGTATAGGATTTGGTTATTTAATTGTATAAGAATAAAATTTGGAATAGGTAGAATATTATAAATAGCTATAGTGGCCATAGAGTTTTTCTAAGATAAAAAGCACAATGGGAAAAAATAGAGATGGAAAGGGTGACATAAAAATACCGTGAGTTACCTGGGTGGGCAAATGCTCAACTACCACTGAACATAGGATTTGTATAGTGATGTGAATTTTTGGTATTTTGATTATATTTTCTATTTTATTTATAGCGGTGTCTTGTATCACTTTGATTAGATGTGCTTATTTAATCTGCCAGTGCAACTCGAATGGATTTGCTCAGGTTGAAGATTTACTCATGTTGGGATATTTACTAAAAATAATATTATATTTAATGCATTCATGCTATTAAACATTATTATAAAATTAAATTTTATATTTAATGTGTTTAATTTCAGAAACTATTTTAACATTTATTTATAATAGTGCACTTATGTGGTTTGGCTAAAAAAAAAACACCTATATTATATAATCGTGCACTTAGCCCGCCCGGACATCCATTTGTCATTACAAAAGTACTTTGGAAAAAAACTTTGTTGAAAAATATTCTTTTTACTGTTGAAACAAATAGAGCGTAACTACGAGACTAAAAAGTTGCATAGTTGTGAATCGGGTTGAGTCTTGCGAAGTTACATTGTTTGGTTTAGTTTGCAAAACTTGCTTTTTGAAAAAATTAAGAAATTAGCCTCACAAAAATAAACATTACAACAGATATTTCTAACTTTTCAAAAAATATTTCCATCCCAAAAAGAGAAAATCATAATGCTAATATGCCTGTATGTAAGTCAACCTTAAATAATCATGAGAAAGAAAAACAAAAAACAAAAAAAAACAGAATAGTAGGTTTGTTATGAATTTTGGCTATTTAACTTGTACTCATTTCCCATTCATCTTATAAAACAACAAATGGAGCAGAACACCATGCTTTTGAAGCCACTAAGTTGTTCCTTACTCATTTTCTGTTACATCCTTTTTTACATGAACTCTGTTCCCACTTTTGGTTTCACAAATGAGACAGATATGCAAGCTTTGCTAGCCATCAGGAATGGAATACAGGAAGATCCTTTCAATGTCTTTAGCTCATGGAATAATTCTCATCATTTCTGCAAATGGCAAGGAGTAACTTGCAGTCATAGGCATCACCAGAGAGTGAGTGCTATAAACCTTTCATCACTTAAATTATCAGGTTCCTTGTCTCCTCACATAGGAAACCTTACCTTCCTTCGAGTGATCGACCTTGTGGACAACAACTTCCATGGAGTGATTCCACAAGCAGTTGGTCGATTGTTCAGAATTCGGTCACTTTATCTTGGAAACAACTCTTTCAAGGGAGAATTTCCTGTTAATGTGACACATTGTTCAGGCCTTAGAGTCATCAATTTAATCAAGAACGATCTCAGCGGGAAGGTTCCTATTCAGCTCGGTTCTCTGCCCAAGCTTGAATATTTAGACCTAACTCAGAATCACTTTATTGCAACAATCCCACCAGCACTTGGGAACCTCTCGGCTCTACGTTGGCTTTATATGTTAACCAACAATTTACAAGGCCAAATTCCAATTGAACTCGGAAAGCTCTCAAACTTAGAAGTGCTTCAGTTGTCTGATAACAAGCTGACTGGTACGATTCCTTCTGCTCTTTTCAACATTTCAAAAATCCATTATCTAGCTCTAGCCTCAAATCAATTCCATGGAAGCTTGCCCCCTAATCTAGGCCTTGTTTTTCCAAAACTTGAAACAATTTTGATGGGAGCAAACTGGTTCTCTGGGACCATTCCTGGCTCGCTGGGCAATGCATCAGGTCTCGTACAGATTTCTTTTGCTGAAAATTCTTTCACTGGGGGCATACCACAGAACTTGGGTGATCTTCAACAACTTGAAGTTTTACAATTTGGGGGTAATCCGCTTGCGGCTGAGAAAGCGAATGACTTGCACTTTCTCACCTCCTTGACTAACTGCACCAAACTCAGGTGGTTGGTTCTGTATAACAATCAGCTTGGAGGTGTGTTGCCCACTTCGATTGGTAATCTCTCCACCAAGCTCGTAGGACTGAATTTGGATCAGAACTACATATCAGGAAGCATACCTCCGGAAATTGGGAGCATTGTCACCTTGGAGGTGCTTACATTAAATGACAACTATCTCACTGGCAACATTCCCAATTCCATTGGAAAATTTATAATGATGCAAGAGATCTATCTGTCCAACAACAAAATATCGGGGAAGATTCCAGCCACCTTCGGTAACATGTCAAAACTTAGTATTCTTTTGTCGAATCAAAATATGCTAGATGGAAATATACCTGTTTCTTTGGGTAATTGTGTGAATCTACAAGAACTGGATCTTTCACAAAATCGCCTTACCGGCATGATACCTAAACAAATTGTTGGACTTCCTTCACTCACTCTAGGCCTCTCTGTAGCTCAGAATTTCCTAGCAGGACCACTACCATCAGAAGTGAGTTATATGAAAAATATTGGGCTATTCGATGTTTCAAGAAACCAACTATCAGGAAACATTCCAAGCACTCTTGGTGATTGTCTAGTGTTGGAATTTCTTAATATGGAGGGTAACCATTTTGAAGGTACCATTCCACCATCTTTTAAACAATTAAGGGGACTTCAAATGCTAGACCTTTCTCTTAATAGTTTGTCTGGCAAGATTCCGAGTTTTCTAGGTGATTTGTCTTTGATTCAATAGCTCAACCTTTCCTATAACAGGTTTGAGGGTGAAGTTCCTAGTGAAGGAGTGTTTAGCAATATCAGTGCATTCTCAATTACGGGAAATAACAAGCTTTGTGGAGGAAATAAAGCATTGCAATTGCCCGCATGTCCCACAAAAATTTTGAAGAAACAAAAAAAGCATTTATCCAATAGAGTACTAATTATTGCAATTAGTGTTCCTGTCTGCATCATTTTGCTGCTCGCATGCATTTGTGTGACTCTGTATTGGAAAAAAAGGTTGAAAGTGAAAACAACTTCAACCTTGTCTCTTGGGAACCAGTACCCAAATCTTTCTTATGCAGAACTTCTTCAGGCAACTGAAGGATTCTCCCCAAGAAATTTGATTGGCGAGGGAAGCTACGGTTCTGTGTACAAAGCGATTCTCAATTCTGAAACTATAAGAGCAATTGCAGTCAAGGTACTCAATCTTCAAGTAAGGGGAGCCAGCAAGAGTTTCTTGGCAGAATGTGAAGCATTGAGGAACATCCGACATCGAAATCTTGTTAAGATAATCACTGCTTGCTCAAGCATAGACTTCAAAGGCAATGAGTTCAAGGCTTTGGTCTTTGAATACATATCCAATGGGAGTCTTGAGAGCTGGCTACATTCGTCAAGATCATCGAACAATGAGGACTCCAGGAACTTGAACCTTGTTCAAAGGCTTAATATTGCAGTTGATGTAGCCTCTGCATTGGATTATCTTCACAACCACTGTGAAACACCTGTCATTCACTGTGACTTGAAACCGAGCAATGTTCTTCTTGATGATGATCTCTCCGCCTGTGTAAGCGATTTTGGTTTGGCAAGAATTTGTCTGACCGAGACAAGTGCATCCACTCATACACACAGCAGTACTTCAAGTAGAATTAGAGGAACAATTGGATATATGGCTCCAGGTAATTTTATGAATTTTATAGATCTTTTGTTAAAGTTCTCACTCTAAATTGTGTTTTACACTAAAAGGATCAGTATGTGTATCAAACTATGCGAATTCAGTTACATTATTTGAACCTCATATTTGGAAAAGACTACCTTTTACATAACGAGATTAATCAGTATTCAATTGCAACTGCAATTAAATTGAATACTAAATTTTCATGTGATGTCAAAAGCTTTTTTATCTGTCAAAATACTGATCTTAGAATTTTCTGGAAGTTTAGCCCCTTCAGCAATTTCGACCCTCTCTATTGCATGTTAGTAATGGAGAGGCTCCATTATATTATCTAACGGTAAGTGTAATGATCTTTCCATAATCATAAATTTGCGTTCTTATTTTATACGAGATTAATCAGTATTCAAATGCAACTGCAATTAAATTGAATATACTAAATTTTCATGTGATGTCAAAAGCTTTTTCATCTGTCAAAATACTGATCTTAGAATTTTCTGGAAGTTTAGCCCCTTCAGCAATTTCGACCCTCTCTATTGCATGTTAGTAATGGAGAGGCTCCATTATATTATCTAACGGTAAGTGTAATGATCTTTCCATAATCATAAATTTGCGTTCTTATTTTAAAGTCATTAGATACGTAACGGAAATCTTCCATTACATAGGATCAAAGTCTGGTATTGTTATTTGTTTATTAAGTGTTCAGTGTTTTCGTTTTCTAAAAAACACACAAAAAAAAAAATTTTTTGCTCACTGTTTCTGGAAATTTTTCTCAAAAAACAACCAACTTTTTGGACAACACCAAAAGGTTATTTTCGAATTTTTAAAAAATGTAAATGCACAAAAATTTAAAATATGATACGAAAATGAAGAAAACAAAAATAATATCAAACTGCTGCGATTGTTTCTACTTGCAGAATATGCTGTAGGTGGGGAAGCATCAATAAAAGGTGATGTGTATAGTTATGGAATTGTTTTACTAGAGATGTTTACGGGAAAAAGACCAACAGACAACATGTTTACAGACAATTTCAATCTCCATAACCATGTTAAGATGGCTGCTGCTGAGCAGGTGATGGAGATTGTTGATCCCTCACTGATATCGGAAGGACCAACTGAATCAAATAGGACTACTGGAAGCAGCAGAGGCAATGTTGTTAGGACACTGAAGTGCTTGGGATGTATCCTTCAAATTGGAGTTATGTGTTCTGCAGATTTACCAAGTGAAAGAATGAATATTGGTGATGCTCTCAATGAACTGCAAGTGATTAGAGATGTTTATCTCGGAAAAAGAGAGAAGAAATAAACAAGATGACAAGATCATCATTGTAGTTTTCTGTTGTGTCACTGTATTCATCTCAGTTATGAGTAAATTCTGAGATACCTGAATAACATAATTGTATAATTGTTTCTTGTTTGATGCAGCTTATTTATGGAAACTTCCCGCTTAAAATAAAAATCAGTAAATAAGTAGACATTTTGTCTCTGGATGTAAGGGATTTTGAATTTTGATGGTGTATGCAAGAAAAATTTATAGGTCCAATGTTATGGACCTATCTGATCATTTTTAACATTTTGTTCAGTGATTTTTATAATGTTTTGTGCTGCCATATTTCAGTTCTGAATACACGCTGATTGAATTCAGCTCAAGCCCAAGTCATTATAGCTTAAGTAATTTGGTCATAGTTCCCCAAGATTTTAGGAGTTGATACACAAATAAATATGGGTATCGGAGAGACACAAAACACAAATAAAAATAAGAACAAGAAACGAAATCAAGCTTTTAAGAATTACTGCAAGAGATTAGTTCATTATTTTTTGGTTTTGGTTAAAGAACAAAAAAATATGAGTAATGTTAGGGATCATGAAGATGATCATGAAAGATTCTCTACCTTTCGATTACACATATAATAAAATACCACACACTAATCAATGGATGAAAAATCTTCATTACGCATTTCGTGATATTTTTTTCATGATCCCTACCATTACTCAAAAAATAAAGGCTACAAAAGTGTAATAGGCTACTTTAATTGGGATTATCTAGAATTGCAACAAGTAATTTAAATTTAATCTTTATGGTACAAAAACAGCAAAATTGCATAGAAATAAAGAATAAATGGGAAGAACACAGTACAATGATCAGCTCACTAACTAATGACTATTATTTCTCACAACACTCAGGCCTCAGTTTGAAAATATGCTATTTTAGTAATTTTTTGATTTTTTGGTTAAACTATGAGGAAAAAAAAAATTAGTATGTTTGAAATGACTTTATTTTTTTACGAAAAGAAGTGTAAAAAGTAGAGAGAAAATGGAATTTTTGACTTTTTGGTATGGATTATTGGCTTTTTAATTTTTTTTAGACCATCTCCAACGTTTCACTAAACCTTGCATCAGATTTGAAATTTGGTGAAAAAGTCACATTTTGCAGCTCCAATGATTTCATCCAATTGGTATCAAAACGAGAATTCACTAAATTTTTCATCAAAGTGAGAACAGGGGGAAAATTTCACCAATTTATTGTATGTGACCGTTGGGGGAGACCAACTGGTCAACCAGCCGGTTGACCGGTTCCCTTGCAAATAAGTTAGTTTAAACAGGTCAAAAGGTTCAAAGAGGTAAAAAAAAATACACTAACCGATCGACCCCTGCTTTGATGGCAACCATTGGAGCAGTTTGCATCAGATTGAGAAAATGGTCTTTTTTTTACTTAGATTTGGTGAAAAATTTGGTGAATCGTTGGAGATGCTCTTAGTGACTTTTATTTTTAGGCTAAAACAGTAAGTTGCCAAACGAGACCTAAATATCAACCATACTCGCAAGCTACAAACCCAACAAGAAATTAAAAAAGGGAAAATGTGTAATTTGGGAGTAGAATAAGATTTGATACCAAGAAATCCTCAGATGTCATCAAACAGTGTAACAACCTCAAAATAAATGCATAAACCAATCATTCATGATATTCATAGACATAGGAGAAGAAAGTATATTCATTCATCAAAGTGTTCTTTACAAAAAGTGGTTACATGTTATCAACAAAATAGTTGCCCTACAGGCTTACAACATTTCAAGTCAAATACTTGGTTACAACGAAAGAGTTCTAACTCGTTTACATATAAAGCCCTAGGCTTGAATTACATGTAATGCAAAAAGGTAACGACAAAAAAAATAAGCCTTCAGCCTCTAAACCTCCCAAGTTACATCCTTAGAGGCGGCATATCACCTGTACCTGAAAATGGTATCCCAAGAAGGGTGAACCAAAGCTCAGTAGAGATAAGCTAAACATTAAATGAGAATTAACTAAAACATTAGCATCTGATAAATATCCAACCTTTATAAGCCAACTCACATTCTGTCCATAGCCAATCCACTTACATTATTCAATATTTTCCAAACAATTTGAAATGAGACTACAACTCATGTATTAACACTTCATTAATCAACAATATTCAACACTTCAATAATCAACAATATTCAACACTTCCATTCACATGCCATTTTACGGAACTACGTCCAAGGGAACCGGCACCCAAATATATATAAGATTTTGGGACTTTCACCCTGGACACTCCGGCCAACTTAATTATCAATGAAGTCCATTCCCTATCTCCTCCCAAACAAGTGGAGTACATCCCCTATCTCCTCCCACACAACATACATATACAATGTATTTAAACACCTAGTCATATACAATGACCCAACGATTCACATATTCAATGTGTTAATTCCACCGTCACATTCAATGACATAATCCAATTGTAGTTTCAATTTCCCTAATCATCATGCAGTGTCTACAACAATCAAGACTATCCTCCACTGATAGCCCAAAACAGTTATTTCTAAACAGATAATTTATTACATTCTCCATCGGTGAGTGATTCATCAACCCAACTACACCAATTAGTTCCAATTCCATCCAATTTCATGATTTTCAAACCAATTTCATATTCCCACAATTACCAAATTGATTATACAAATTAATTATTTAAATTCAATTAGGGCATTTTCCCTCTTTTCTCAAACACTGATCTTAAGACCAAATGTCACCAATTAAACCCACAAACCCCATTTTCAAGACCTCATATGCACATGGAGCTTAAAAACACAAAACCCCTCTTTTATGTATTACAAATCTCAAACCTTGACTTCCCAAATTTCCAAATTACATCATTTATACAAATAACTAACATTTATGTTAAAGCTCATAAAAATGAGTAGATTATCCCTACCTTAAACGAAGAAGTTCAAAGGAGAAGAAGAGTGAAACCCAAGATGCTCCAAATCTATAAATTTTCGGATCAATGGGAAGCCCAAGCCAAGCTCTAACTTTCTTACAAAGGGACTAGGGTACAAAACTCCTAGAACAAGGAGTACTTATAGAGAGAGAGTGTGTTTAGAGAGAGAGATTGCCGATTTTAGGGTTTGGAATGAAAAGGAGATTAAAAAGTGAAGAAGAAGACCCTTGTTGCGAACTGATATATACGAGGCTCGCTCGAGCGAAGGAGTGGTCGCTCGAGCGACCAGACACAAAAGAACCTCACTCGAGCACAAACAGCGTCGCTCGAGTGAACAATGAGAAGCTTCAGGTCTGCAACCCAGGTGCACGCTCGAGCGCCAGAGTTCTCGCTTGAGCGAAGAAACACAAAACATAGGGCTCGCTCGCTCGCTCAAGCGAAGAATACCAACCTTCAGGTCTAAAAGAGACGTAGATGCACGCTCGAGCGCAAGACTTCTCGCTCGAGCGAAGAGACACACCAGACCAGGCTCGCTCGAGCGCAAGAAAGCTTGCTCGAGCAGAAGCTGCGTCTGAAAAGAAACCTGAAGACCCTCAATCCTCGCTCGAGCGCAAGAACTCTCGCTCAAGCAAAGAAGCAAATACCAAGGTATGATACCCAAACAAATTGTTGGACTTCCTTCACTCACTCTAGGCCTCTCTGTAGCTCAGAATTTCCTAGCAGGACCACTACCATCAGAAGTGAGTAATATGAAAAATATTGGGCTCTTTGATGTTTCAAGAAACCGACTATCAGGAAACATTCCAAGCACTCTTGGTGATTGTCTAGTGCTGGAATTTCTTAATATGGAGGGTAACCATTTTGAAGGTACTATTCCACCATCTTTTAAACAATTAAGGGGACTTCAAATGCTAGACCTTTCTTATAATAGTTTGTTTGGAAAGATTCCGAGTTTTCTAGGTGATTTCTCTTTGATTCAATACCTCAAACTTTCCTATAATAGGTTTGAGGGTGAAGTTCCTAGTGAAGGAGTGTGTAGCAATATCAGTGTATTCTCAATTATGGGAAATAACAAGCTTTGTGGAGGAAATAAAGCATTGCAATTGCCTGCATGTCCCACAAAAATTTTGAAGTAACAAAAAAAGCATTTATCCAATAGAGTACTAATTATTGCAATTAGTGTTCTTGTCTGCATCATTTTGCTGTAGCATGCATTTGTGCCAAAATGTATTGGAACAAAGGGTTGAAAGAGAAAATTGCTTCAACCTTGTTGTTTGCCAACCAATATCCAAATATTTCTTATGCAGAACTTCTTCAGGCAACTGAAGGATTCTCTTTGAGAAATATGATTGGCGAGGGAAGCTATGGTTCTGTGTACAAATGGATTCTGAATTGTGAAACTACGAAAGCAATTGCTGTCAAGGTACTCAATCTTCAAGTAAGGGGATGCAACAAGAGTTTCTTGGCTAAATGTGAAGCATTGAGGAACATCTGTCATCGAAATCTTGTTAAGATAGTCACTGCTTGCTCAAGCATAGACTTCCAAGGCAATGAGTTCAAGGCTTTGGTCTTTGAATTCATATCCAACGGGAGTCTTGAGAGCTGGTTACATTCGAGTTCACTGAACCAGGAGGACTCTAGGAACTTGAACCTTGTTCAAAGGCTCAATATTGCAGTTGATGTAGCCTCTGCATTGGATTATCTTCACAACCATTGTGAAACACTTATCATTCACTGCGATTTGAAACCGAGCAATGTTCTTCTTGATGATGATCTCTCTGGCCGTGTCAGCGATTTTGGTCTAGCAAGAATTTGTCTCACCAAGACAAGTGCATCCACTCATACACACAACAGTACTTCAAGTAGAATTAGAGGAACAATTGGATATATTGCTCCAGGTAATTTTATCAATTTTATAGTTCTTTTGTTGAAAGTTTTCATTCTAATTTGTGTTGTACACTAAAAGAATCAGTATTTGTATCAAACTACATGATTTCAGTTACATTATTTTAACCTCACATATGGAAAAAGTCTCCATTTTACATAACAAGATTAATTGGTATTGAATTGAATATTCTAAATTTCCATGTGATGTCAAAAGCTGTTTAATCTATCAAAATACCAATCTTAGAATATTCTGGAAGTTTAGCCTGGTTGGTATAGTTTCTACATTTTTTTTTTCTCTAAAAACAACCAACTTTTTTGGACAACTCCAAAAGGTTATTTTCGAATTTTTGAAAAACATTAATGCACAAAAATTTTAAATATGACAAAAATGACCGGGTGTTTTTGATGCATTGTTTTTGTTTCAAAAAAAAATATGAATAACGAAAATGAAGAAAACAAAATTAATATCAAACTGTTGTGATTGCTTCTACTTGCAGAATATGCTGTAGGTGGGGAAGTGTCAATAAAAAGTGATGTGTACAGTTATGGGATTCTTTTACTAGAGATGTTTATAGGGAAAAGACCAACCGACAACATGTTTGCAGACAATTTTAACCTCCATAACTATGTTAAGAGGGCTGCTGCTGAGCAGGTGATGGAGATTGTTGATCCTTCACTGATATCAGAAGGGCCAAATGAATCAAATAGGACTAGCGGAAGCAGCAGAGGTGATATTGTCGGGACAGTGAAGTGCTTGGGATGTATTCTTCAAATTGGAGTTATGTGTTCTGTAGATTTAGCAAGTGAAAGAATCAATATTAGTGATGCTCTCATGGAATTGCAAGTGATTAGAGATGTTTATCTCGGAAAAAGAGAGATGAAATAAACAAAGATGACAAGATCATCATTGTAGTTTTTTGCTTTAGTTTGTGTGATTCTATTAATCTCATTTTGTGAGAAAATTCTGAGATACTTGTAGAACATAGTTGTAAAATCGTTACTTGTTTGATACAGCTTATTGTGGGTGCTTATAGCCTATTTTATTTTGAAAATTTGTGTTAGTGTGTTTTGTGCAACTTTTGTTTACAGCTTATGATGAACTTTTGAAATCTAAATAGTTTGCACCAAATAATTGGTTACAGTAATTGAAAGTGTTAGGGAAAATCGATGTGATTCCCCACAAGTAAATCAATCAATGGGAATAAAAACTAATGCGGAAAAATTAAATCAAAGGCAACACAAGAATTTTTATGTGGTTCCCTGAATGTGAGGTATGTCCACGGGATCGAAATCCGATTCCACTATCAACCAAATAAGTTCCAAATGATTACAAACGAGACACTAATGGTCTCACAAAACCACCCTTAGGTGAATTCCAAATAATCACAAATAAACAAGCGGAAAGACCTCATCAAATAGATGAACCAAAATCTTCAGAACCAGAGTTGAAGAAGACCCAAAATAACGACCCAAATCAACTTCACCAAAGCATCCAAACAAAGATGCACCAACTTGTTGTTGTTCCACAAAGCAAATCCCACCAACAATTGATTAAAACTGTGCTGCAACCTCCCAAGCAAAAAACAACGGCTGCACTTTTTCTTTTTGGGAAAGATAATGCCAATCATAATATTGTGGATTTAGGGTTTATTATCAAACCTTAGTTGTTTCCAAATTGGATTGGATCTCCACAAATATAATATATAAAAATATATTATACCTAAACCAAGTCAAATTAAAATTCTTTAACAAACCAATTGGGTCTCACACTCCAATAAGGAGGTATACCCAACAGAAAGTAGAAAACAGAAGCGAAGCAGCAGCAGCAAGTAATTGAAATCGATTGGAATATGAAACACTGGAAATGTTGTTTGGTTAACTGAAATGCATAAATTAAGATGGAGCCAGGCATTCGTCATCCACATCTACAATGTTAAGATTTTCCAAAGCGGCTGCCACCCTTTCTTTTTCATTCAACTGATTATTTACTATCATAATTTTTTTTATTAAAAAAAATAAGATTTAGGATTACAGAGTGACTCTGCATAATAATTTGATGATCACCAACTCATATCACATCGCATAAGTTGCATTATGTTAATGATAATATATTGCTCTTTAGAACTAGATACAGGAAACATTACCAGGAAAAACCTCTACTCACTCAGTGAAGCTCAAAAGAAATTTCATTTTCTGTTAAAGTTTCCTGGTGAATTTGAAAAATGAGAAAGAGAGGGTAGTCGGAATTTGAGTTGGATTTTAGGATTTGGGTTTTGGTCTTAAAATTGGACAGAATTTTGGAAGTAATTTAAAAAAAAAAATTAGAAACATTCGGAGGGAAAGTGACAAAAAATGTATTTGAAAGGTTAAAATGAAAATTTTGAAACTTAGGGGGGCAAAGTCTAATTTATCAATTTTGTGTCACATGTTGCCACACGACTGGTAATGTGACATTTTTCTTCTAAAATTAAAAGAAAATAAGTTTTAAATGTAAATTAATAAAAATTAACATTAATGATTAAAATAGAAAAAATATTTTAAAATAAAAAAATTATGAAACTTAAGAGACGCAAAATATAATCAAACAAATAGCACCTTTTCTCTCTCGTGTCTGTTAAGTCTTCTCCACTTAGTGCTAGACGAAAAAAGTCTTAAAGACAACAAGTGGTCTAAATTAAAAAATTATGGGTTGGGGAAAATCCATCGAACTTGTTATTTATTGGTTTAAGTTGAGAAATTCAAAAATTTTTTATCAAGTAATAAATGATTTGCAGTAATATTTTAAATCTACTAAATAATTAGAATAATGTTATATGCATAAATTAAGATACCAATTAGTGTATCAATTGATAGTGTGATATAATTTAAGAGGGTTTTGATATTTGTAATTTATATAATGAGTGGAGTCAATAATAATGCCATAACAATATCATCATAACATTATGAAAATAAATTAATTTATTTCTACTTCTCATCTCTCTTTGTCCTTTTCACTTACGCTATGTTTGAATAGAGAGATTTAGTGAAAAAAGAAAGGAAAAATAACGAGAATTGGAAACCTTTCACTTGCTTGGATGGTTAAGTAGAGTGAGGAACGGTGACAGATGGGCTCTCACTAAATTTGTTTTTTGTTTCTCACTAAAAATGGTGAGATTTGGTTAGAAAAGAATTAAGTTTAATGAAACTTGTTTAAAATACCAAGATTACCCTTATGAAAAACATATCTTATTAATATGGAAAGTTATTTGGATAAAATAAAATAAAACACTTTAATTTCCTTTTTTTTTTTTACTTATTCTATCCAAACAAGATAAATGAGAAATCACATTCATTTTTTTTTTATTTATCCAAACATAATGACAAAAAACATAATTATTATTTTTTTTTCTCACACATCTCCACGATCTAAACAGAATATTAGGTTAGGAATCTTTTGAAAAGTAATTTTTTTTTTGTCAAAAAAGTTTAAAATTGAACCTTATAACAAAAAGTCACATTGTACAAATTAATTAATAATTTTTTTTATAATTACCTATTTAATAAAAAAAATTATTCTCAAACACAATCACCTTTTTTCACTTTGCAAAAAAATATAAAAATAAAAAAGCCGTTTCCAACTCGCAGTGGTTGCACTGTTGCAAAATGTAAGTGGAGGGAGAAGAAAAGTTAGACCTGGGATGCTGCTGCGACCTTTCATGCAAGTTAATACTGGGTTAATTTTGATAATCCATATTATTTATATTGTAGGGTTTGTTAAGTAAAATATCTATAAAATAAAATAAAAAGTTAATTAGACATTCATGACCACATGATCTGGGCCTAAATAATGAATAATTTATTATCAAAATCATACTTGACATTTATTTTTTTTTAAAACAAATGTGATATTTTTATGTGGTGACAAATGTCTGATTAATATAATTTTTTTCATGGATGATTCACTCAATAAATCTTACAATGTGAACGATTTGAATCATCAAAATATAAATGGTATGAATCCCGATGAGAGGCTACAGGACCCTGTTGTATCCCCACATCCAGAAGAGTCAAGTGTAATGGATGCACTTGACCCATGTCCCTCGTTTTCCATTCATTTTCTCATTGTATACCTATTAAAAACCTAGATAGGGTGCTTTGAGATTAAATATTATGGGTGTTTATAAATTAAAAAATGGTGAAAAGATATATGGATGTGATAAAAGACATGTATGATGGAAATATGGTTGCCAATAAAAAAAAATTGATTCAACAGGGTGGGTCCGCTTACTTATATGAGGCTTTTGCTACTATTGACAGTGAGGAGTGTCGTCGTCGATTGATTCAACCGGTGGCTCCACTTCCTTCCTCTATTCTTGCCTCATCTTCAGTTTCAGATCAGATGGCTCTTGCTGCCAAGTTTAGTTCTCGTGCTTCTAGTAGCAAGGTTATTTGTCACCATTGTGGTGCAGCTGGTCATGTCCAAGCATGGTGCCTCAAGCTTCATCCTGAGTTGAAGCAACGCTTTGCAAGGGCATGCCCTTTAGGCTCTCCCCATACTGCTGTTATTGCAGACACCTTTATTACTCCTCAGCCGACTCATCCTATTGATCTTCATCAGCTTCAATCTCAGATTGGTCGCCTTCATTCACAACTTGGTTCATTCACTACCATGTTTCCAAGTGTTCCTTCTACTGCTACACTTGCTACAGGTACTTTTACAGCCTTTCATGTTCGCACTGCACTTACTTGGGTATTGGATTCTGGGGCCAATGATCATATTATCATCTCTTGTCTCTACTACTGCTCAGACTGTATGTCTTGCTGATGGGTCTATTTCACATGTCCAACATAAGGGTGATGTGTCCTTGTCGTTAGATATTGCACTTACTTCTGTCTTACATGTGCCTCATTTTGCCTATAATCTTCTTTTTGTGAGTCACCTTGCTAAAAACCTTCATTGTGCTGTTATTTTCTTACTTACTCATTGCTTATTACAGGACCTGACTTCGAAGAAGATTTTTGGCAAGGGGGGTTTGAACGTGATGGGCTATACTACTTCGGGGACCCACCACCTTCTCATCCTACCACTTCTGGCTTGCAAGCAGCTGTGTTACCTGAGTCATCTTCTTATGTGTTTATTTTCAAACTTTAGCCTTGTGGCATGCTCGTTTAGGACATGCAAACTTTAATTATTTATGTTTACTTTTTCCGTCACTTAATAAAGCTTGCAAGGACCATCAATTTCATTGTGTTGTTTGTGAACTGTCTAAACATACTCGTACTTTTTATATTCCTCGCATGTATTGTGCCCCCTGTATGTTTGACCTTATTCACTCTGATATCTGGGGTCCTTCTCCTCTTTTGGCTTTTTCTGGGCTTCGCTATTATGTAACTTTCATAGATGACCATTCTAGGTGTACTTGGGTTTATTTGCTTAAAAAGAAGTCTAATGTGCTTCCACTATTTATTCAATTTCTCCAAATGGTCAAAACCCAATTCCACACCATTGTACGCAATGTTCGTTCTGATAATGGGGGGCAGAGGGAGTACATCTCTGATGCATTTCGCTCCCAACTTAATTAGCAGGGAATTTTGCAGCAACTCACTTGTACTTACACCCCTGAACAAAATGGGATTGCTGAACATAAAAACCATCATATTATGTCTATTGTCCGATGTCTTCTTTGTGGAATGAATGTCCCTAAGTTCTACTGGCATATGGCTGTGCGTACTGCTATTTATCTCATTAATCGGACAACTAGTCGGATTCTTCACGAGTTGGCCCCTTTTCAGTTACTTCGACCAGATACTGTGTTATTTCCTCTTGTGCCTCGCGTGTTTGGTTGTACTTGTTTTGTTCAGGATTGTCGTCCAACTTGGACCAAGTTAGATAACAAGTCTCTTAAATGCGTCTTCTTGGACTATTTCGCTCTCTCTAAAGGTTATAGGTGTTACGATCCGTTGTCTCGTTGTTTTTATCATTCTATGGATGTCACATTTTGTGAAGATATGCCATTTTTTGGTTCTAACCTTGTGTTTCAGGATTCTG